TTTCGAATTCGATTTTTTCAAACTAGTATGTATTTGAAAATAGAATATTTGAATTTTTCTCATTCAAAATTTTTTAGGAAATTTAATTTATTTCGCTAGTTTCGAAGTAATCTTTGAAAATTAGATTTGAATTTTTTTAGAACAATTTTTTCAAAATCGAATTTTTAAAACTTTTTTTAAAAAGCTTATTTTTTTCGTATTCGCTCGTGGAGTTCAAAATTTATTTAACTCGGATTTTTTGAACTTCAAAATTTTCGAGCACACAATTTTTATCAGCTTCATTTCTTGATTAGATTTTTTTTAAATTTCGAACTTTGACTTTTTCCGAATTTCCGATTTCATATCGCATAACTTCGAAATAACACTGAAGTAAATAACCTACCAATGCATTTTCCCACTTTTCTTACCTTTTCCCTGACATCTATGTATATACATGTTACATTACATACATACTTATGCATGTAATTTCATCACTTGATATAATTATAAGGTACGCGCTTCACCTACATTTTACTTTTAACTAATTTTACATATACATACATACATATAATAGAGTAATTTCATAGTTGAATTAACTACACTTAAGCCAATAAGTTATAGCAGTGGGGTGGTGTTTTCTTTGTTACATAAATAACAACTTCTTTTCAATATACAGACGTTCATTGTTTGATATTTCAAAATTCTGCGTTTTTTATATTTATGTATGTATTTTTATTTAAACAACATGATTTGCGTTCTTTTGTATACTTACGTATGTATGTAATAAACATTCGTTTGCATCGCTTGCGTTAAACAAAAACCAAATCGAAAATAACAAATACATACGAACATACATACTTTCTATAATAATTATGCTTTGAATTACATTTAAACAACTAGTCGTTCATACTTACAACAAAGTAGTACAGGCAGGTGAGTGTTGCATTAAATGCGTTGCACTTATTTGATAAGTACAGTACATCTAAACAACAAAAAGCATAGGACACTTTGAAATAAATTATTGTTAGGTTCTTAGTTACGGGGTTTTCCAGGTAATTCTTGTTGCTTTTTTTTCTTTGTTTGTTAAACGGCAGCAGGAGGAAAGGGCAACTGTTGTTAGCTACGAATTTCATTATTGAATTTTTTTTTTAATTTTTTTGTTTTTCAATTATATTTATTTATACACCTAAAAAATCTGACGCTTAAGCTTAACATATCGAAGAATGATTTGAAAAAAAGCCACAAAATCGCTTAAAAGAACATAAATTGTATTTTTTTTTTTATATTAAAAAAAAGTCATAATAATAATTGTAAATAATAGGGAAAGTAAAAACAACAACAACAAAAAGTTTTTATGAAACTTAAATTTTTGCGAGTAAAAAACTACATTTATTTAAAAACTACATACTTAAATCGATAAAGCCTAAATTAAAGGTACATATACATATGTACATATATACATACATATACATATATATATAGGACATACATACATACATACTGTTAATATATATTACATTAATTATAACAATCAATAATAACATTAGAACACTATTTAACATTAATCATTCAATCAACAAATTTAGTAAAGAATTATGTGTATGTATATGTTTACGTACTACATACTAATTATTTGGATTTTTATTTTTACCCCATTCGTTTTGTGTACAGATTTCAAACGCTTTTATTTTATAGTTTAAATGTTTATGTAGTTTATAGTTTTCGAAAAATCAGGTAGTTACTTTATTTACACATTTATAAGCAGCAACGTTGAATTTGTTTTTTTTTTGTAATTTTTTTTAGTTTTATGTTTTCGCTTTTTGATTTTTTAAGTGCTATGGGCGCAGTATGTACTTGTAGGCAAAGAAATTAAAAAAAATTATGTTTGTAAGATTCTTTTTTCTTTTTGGTTTTTGTTGTTTTCGACAGGGTTGTTGTATGATGTATCTTGCAACGAATTTCCTTCATTCCAAACCTAATTTTCGAAGGTATGATGGAAAACCGTTACAAAGCACATTATTTAGAAGATTGACTCAAATTCGAATATGTAACTCGAAACTCGAAAAAATTATAAAAATTTTGACAGTTCAGCTGTAGTATCGAGTCTTTTATTATTTATTGTTAATGCCCTTTTTTTGACAGAAATTTCTACATAGAAATTTTACCCCAATAAAAATTTTGTTTGAGTAGCCTCATTGCGATTGTCGCATCGAGTGCAAGTCGTTTTTCGATAATCGAGTCGAATTAAAAATTGCATGGCATTGCCTTAAATTGTGACTCGACTGAAGACGAAATTTTACTGAAACTGTAAAAACACAATATGTACATTCAACCTTTATAAAAAAAATCGGTACTGTTTTTCCAACGGAATTATACCATTTATTGTACTTTAAGATATTAACTAAAATCGTTCGGAAAAAATCAAGATTAACGTGAGCTGAACCAATTTGAAAAACATCCAAAAATATCATTATTATGATTCCCTTGATAAAATGTTCCAACATTTTTATGCAGACCATTTAAGCTTAGACGTTTTTTATCATCTGAGGTTTTAAATTTTATTTTTTTTTTAATTTTATGTATGAAACTCTACTGTAAAAATATTCATGAAAAATACTTTTGGGTATATATTGAATTTTTTTAGAATGTTTCGACAAATGGGGCATTGTGAATTACCAATTTTAAAAGATAAAAAAAACTGGAAAATATAAAATCAGAAAGTTTTTCTAAGAAATTAAAAGTTTAGTTAAACAGTTGTAAAAAAAAATCATATAAAAGCTTTTGAAAAGTCATTAAAGATTCTTTAACAAGTAATTTTTAGCAAAAAAAAACCGACTTCAATTCTCATATAATATATATATCATGATCCAATGATCGGATCTAAACCCTATTATTGACCACCACTGAGACACTACCTTTCCGATGCAAAAAGAATTATCGAAATCGGTTGACGTGGTCTATAGTTATACGGCTACAAAAGAACTCATTAAAGTAACGAAAAATATGCAAAGCAAAAACACAAACTCCGCCATGTGTCCGAATTCAGTCAGGTTGGGTAAAAAATACGCGACCCGATGCGTAGTGTTGTCAAGTGAAAAAAACTGTTGTATTGTGAATTGTTGGTAGGTACATATGTGTTTAAACAATTTGATAGATGTAGCCCATAGCCCGAGCATAATGGAGTCTCATGATCTCTTTTTTCTTCAAATGCAAAAATAAATTCATCTTCTGAAATTTATAAAATTTGGTATTGAATCTTACTATTTTCATCATTTAAATTTCATTAATAATTTTCGTAGGAAATATTCGGTCTTCCAGAAAACAATCATTTTGATCGAACGATTCTCAGGATATGCCTCGTCACTCCAATTTATTTAAAAATGTACATACAGAATTTTTCAAATTTGCTACAAAAAAAATCGGAAACCTTTATTGTATTTGAATTCTTATAAATTTCTAAGATGCTTTTATATTTTTTTCTTTTATTGAAGAATTATAGATTTTTCCGTAACGAGTGGCATTATGGACTGGTTGAACCATTGGGATTTCTTTATTACTGTGTTTGTGTGAAATATGTATTTAAAGGAAAATTTTATGGATATTAACACTTCAATATTTATTTTTTTTTTTAATTTTGAAAGTAAAGAGCTGGAAAAAATAACCTCGTCAGTCCAACTCCGGTTAAGTAATCCACAGTATTTTTGCGCAAAATCCACCTCCAAATTTACAAAAAAAAGTACACATTTTCAACCGAAATATTTGTTTTAAATTAAAGCTTAATCCTTTGGCAGGTGTACCAAACTCTTGCAGTTTGGAGACGCACAAGAATTTTCTTCAATATTTTCATCCAACTTCCCTGACTTCAAACATTTTTTTTTTTTACTTTTTCAAGAAACAATAGTTTTGCTGTTAGTGAATCTCATAGCATGATTTTAGTTAAATGTCATAAATTTGTTAAAAGTCAAGAGGTCGGCAACAACAACGAATGTCAATAAATGAAACTACCTTCTATTTTTGTATCATGCGCAGAACCAACGCAAAATGAAAATTGGAAATTGAGTTAGCTTTTTGCATAAGAAATTTTTGACAGTAAATTGGCAGCGTGCGTGAATATTAGGTTGGCCTCTTAGGCGGTTACTGCGCCAAACAAGAAGAGATAGTTCTTTTCAAAACCGCGCGTGCTTCGGCTTGCATTGTTAAATCTCTAAAAGTGTTTTTCTAGAACGAGAACGGCTAGCGAGCTAAATTTAATAGTACGTATCTCAAATATTTTGAGACGGAGAATTCAGAAAAAATTGTCTCGTTGGATAAAAAAAAGTACCTTGATTTTTACAATGGGCTTCACAAATAGGCGGTTTAAATTTTTTTCTCTTTTTTCTGAAAACAAGGAACCGAAGAACACTTTTTAATTTTCATTTTATTTGAAAGTTCATTGCATGCTGTTTTTAGATCCAAAAATGAAAGAAAATCAAAAATTTTACTTTCACAGGTAATTTCGAAGGCCTCATTGAATAACAAATTACCTTGATTTTAAGAAAATTTTTGAAATGAAAACAAAATTAAGACCGTATATTTTTAAGTAAAAATTAAACAAAAAATAGTACAATAAAAAATTTTGAGCAAATAAAAAATAGTAAATATAATAAAAAAAAAATCATTAAATAACTTGCACCCACAGCACTTCCTCATCATATTTGCTTAGATTTGCCACCTTAATTTTGCTTTCTCTCTTTGTTTTAATGGTAGGTTTGCTTTGCTTTAGTTTTTTAAATTTTTTTTTTTAATAAATTTTTGTTTTTAACACATTTGTTTTTTGTTTTTTTTTTGTTATGTTTTGTTACTAAATTTAATGCACATATAAGCATGTGATTTTAATGCTTAACAATTTAAAATATACATATTTCGAACACATTGTTTGCTGTGTTGCTTCTTCAAATTTTCTTTTGTTTGCTTATAATACAATTACATACATTTACATATATTTTAATATTAATCTATATATATATATGTATATATCTATATATTTTTAATATAATAATATGAATAAACGCTTAAGCTATATCAATATACATATATATCCATTTTAAAAATATATTATTTATCTTTGCTCTGCCTAAACTGCCTAACCTTAAACATACATATCAACGCGCTCGTCATTTTCTACGTTTCGTTTTTACATTCTGCAGTTAAATTGCAAGTGTGAATGGTGATAACGTAAAATCCAAGTGCTACGAATTACCTTTTTAATGTAAATATATATATATATATATATATATATATATTTATATTATATACTTTTATCTTAACTTCCCAATTTTTTTGTTTATTTATTTTTTTCTTATTACTTTGTTTTATCTAAAAGCCAACCCTGGATTATTTCAGCGTCATTTGATAAAAAGCCAATCTATATCGTCTCCTGCCGCATTTGAAGCGCTTTCGTCACATTTTACACGCGCCGGCTTTCACGTGTTCCAACACACATCCAAACATATGTACAAACATTTCATAGCCCTTTTTGTATTTATGCTTTTCGTTTTGCATGCAGCATTTCCATGAGTAGCGTCTGTGTGGGTGCACTGCCAGCGCAGTGTTTCGAATAGAGATGGTCTTCGCCACGCGAGGCCATCGCATGAATATCGGGAAGTATGCTGAGCAGCCTCCGAAATTTATCCTACGCAATTAAGATCGAGAAAGATGAAGGGATCAGTAAATGGGTTACAAATAGGGTCATATATAATATAGAAGAGCTAAACGATTTTTTTTTTCATGTTGCCAAAAAATGTGACTATTTACATCCCCTATGTGGGCAACAATGTATACAATTTTCCTTGCACTTACCGTCACTGATGGATAACAGGTGAGCGTGTAATCCAGTAGCGCTGCTTGAACATTCTCTTGCCCCTCCAAAACGGTCTTCTTGTTGACAATGCCACGCACGTCTGTTGAAATAAATGATTCACTATATGTTTTTTGATAAGCAAAAATAACCACTTACCTGGATTGAGTAGTATTAGGAATTTCATACACACATAATCGCCCATATCGAATTTAAGATCTTGCAATCGATTTTGCAGCTCATTAAAATAGTCGGACAATTGCGGTACACCCAGCAGACCCAGCCAAAGTAGATTGAATACTTGACCGTTATTCAATTGCGTTTCATCGGGTAGGCCATTGTGTATTCGCTGATGCAAATGATCCAGCACAAGCATATCTGACCAGGAATGCTGCAGCAATTTCATTTGATCATCAACCTAATGGGGAAACAAAACGAAAAGTTTAGTTGATTAGATGACTTTTAAAACATACTATTGTGACAAATTAAGGAGGAAAAGGATATATGGGACAAAAGTCACCAAGTGTACCGGGATAAATTTTATCATCGATTTTATTGTTGTTGTTGTTGTAGCGGCCACAACAACCCCTCCCAGATCGGCTAGTATATGAGTCGTTGTCGTCAAGCTAAACTAACGGAATACCCAAGAAGTGTGCATCCTCAGTGGGGTCGGTCCATAGGCCAGAGCGAAGTTGGGCTATAGCGGCCCGAGTCTCCCGAGCCAGACGAAGCTTCGTCTCGTTCACGTCAGGTGGTTGTGTCTCCAGAACGGCATTCACAGGTCTGGAGTCTACGTAACTTGAGACGGACTCCCTGTGAATGCTGCTCTGACTTTCGATATGTTGTCGGGTCCATAGGTTGCTGTATGCATCTCTGGACCTTGTCCGTCGGTCGGGATATGCCTTCTGCCATGCCTTGACGAGGACTCCTCTGCAAGCCGGTGTCTGTTCGGGTGTCCACGTCTGTGGCTCCCTACTAAGAATTGCTTGCAGAGCATTGTGTTGTGCTCCCTTATGGGGAGCATTTGCGCCTCGCCATGCAGGTGATGTTCTGGGTCGTTCCGAAAATCTTCCGCAAAATCTTTCTCTCGAATACTCCAAGAGCCGCCTCATCGGATGTTGTCATTGTCCATGCTTCTGTGCAATATACCAGCACGGGCATGATCAGTGACTTATAGAGTGTGGTTTTCGTACGTCGAGAGAGGACTTTACTCCTGAATTGCCTACTCAGTCCAAAATAGCACTTGTTGGCTTGAGTGATTCTGCGTTGAATTTGGATGCTGGCATTATTCCCATGTAAACGAAATTCTTCACTTTCTCGAAATTATAACTGTCAACAGTGACGTGGATGCCAAGACGCGAATGCCCTGACTGTTTGTTCGATGACGGGAGATACTTCGTCTTGCCCTCGTTCACCACCAGACCCATTCGCTTTGCTTCCTTATCCAACTTAGAAACGGCAGAACAGACTTCGCGGTTTTTGTTACGTCTGGTGCTTCGTAATTTAGAACCGGCCGGCCGATTGCCTTGTATGTTACCAGCAACGTTTCTTTGTCTTTGCCCCAGCAAAGATTAAGCTGTGTAAAAAGTAGGCTAACTTTTGACTTAAGTCCAAAAAATGGCTTAACTAAGTTAAGTTTAGTTGGAGAAACCAGCCCATAGAATTTGTTCCTGGTACCCTGGTGGATTTTTCCCCATATATCTTACAGAGGCTTTCAACAAATACATATATATTGGGCCTTATGCATAAAGAGTGAGCTTAAACTCAGACTTGAGTGATCTCAAGCTATTGGATTTGTACTGTAAATCGGGTCGTAGCTTAAGCTCACTTTTTATGCACGAGGCCTATTAAGTTGAGTCTCAAGTTGATTTTTGCCGAGATTGCGGACGATACATATACAATGGAAATACCATAATGTCATTCTGAAGAATGAGTAGGCCACTAGCATATCGGAGTTAGAACAAAAACAATAAATTCAAACATACATACATACATATGTATATGTACATGTGTATAAGTGTGCGCCTACTGCCTACGCTGATAAGCTTAACCAGTGTCCTCCGCTTATTGAATCTGTTTTCTGTGATGATCAATACTGCGCCTAAAAGATACTACATATCTTTAAGAACGCTGTTGAAGTGGCTAAGGTTTGTTGGGGATAAGTTCGTAGCATAGTGGGCTCACATTTTCTTTTCTTTAATTAAACCCGTCCTATTATTCTGAAAAATGCTAACTTAATCGACAATATTCCTAGAAAATACCATATTTTTTAATACTATCGCGATAGCAATCTTTTGTAGTACTTAAGAAAGCGTTTCTATCGGAAATGTGGTGGAAAATATTAACAAACATTTTGATATCAACACTAATATTTCAAGCAATAATAGAGCATTTTTGCAGTAAACGCTTTTAAAGCTGAATCCTGTAACAGGAAACGATCATGTCAGTCGTGGGGTTCTTGAACAATTTGACACAGCTCAATGACGAAAGTCAAAGGTGTCGAGTGATCATAAGCCTGCACAATTGCCAAACTGCAAGTGAGCCGCTTATTTTCACCAGCGGCGAAGTTCACGAAGCTATCGCGAAGCCATAAACGCCAAAGCTACTACACTCGGTGGTATATGGCTTCTCGATGGCTTCGTAAACCAATATCCTCAATTTCTCAATGACCTCATCATATTTGATATGTTGTAGATTTCTGAGCATCATTATTCATACACTATTTCTCCATAGAAAAATAGTTTTCATTCTATTACCTAAAAGTGAAAGGGTCCATTTTTTAATTGTTCTGGAGGGAGAAAAAATAGATGTAAGTTTCGCATTATCTGTCTTTCTGCATCAAAAACAGACGACGAAGAAGATCGAAGTTAAAGTTGAGTGTTATAATTGTGCCTATAACAAGGTTGGATATTGGCATCGTCGGCCTGAGAACTTGGGACAATAGTGCAGCATTTTGCAGTTTAGAAAAAGAAGCGAAAGAGGTTGGTCTGGGAGTGAACGAGGACAAGAGAAAGTACCACCTGGCAACACATAAAAAAACCTAGCGTTTGCAGTAGCGAAGGACTTTGTCTACCTATGATCAACAAAAACACCTCCAATAATGCCAGACTGGAGATAAACCGAAGAATAATTTTTGCCATTAGTTGATACTTTCGGCTCGGTAGGCCATAGAAAAGCAGCGACCTTTCTCGACGAACAAATACTAGGCTATACAAATCTCATCATGACCGTCCTTTCATATGGCGCAGAAACATGGACGATGTCGAACAAAGATGACAAGCCTCTTGGGGCTTTCAAGAGAGCTATTGTAGGCCAAATTTATGGCCCTCTTCGCGTGGGCGACGAGTACCGAAGAAGAAAAAAAGATGAACGAACTGTGTGACAAGGACATGGTTAAGCACATAAAAATACAACGATTGCGTTGTCTTGGCCATGTTGAATGTACGTATGGACGACAACGCTTCGGCGAAAAGATGCTTCGACTGGGCACCCATGGTTGGACAACAAAAGAAAGTGCCCACACGAACACAACGGAAGGACCAAGTGCAGAAGGACCAGTTTGCAATCGGGAAGTACAACTAGCGCTAACACAATAGCGACGAATGGAGGGATCAGTGGCAAAACGATTTTCAGACGAAATAGTTGACTTGGATGTCGGAAGCAACGGCGCTTCGACGGTCGTTTGGTATTTTGGATTTGGATGCCTCTTCTTCTTTTCCTTTGCTAATAAGGGAAATACAATATCTTAAAATAGATTTTTATAACGTTCAGAACATTCCATGAACCGAACTCGAAAACTAAGAGTTCAGTTTAACATTTTTGATTGCGAAAAGTTATGGCGCTTAACGCGTTAACACTCAAAAACAGATTTAAGAACCAATCATCAGCATTTTCGCAGCTCAGCTTAAAGCGCACAACCCAAGCGCTTTAATTTAACGCGCTCTTTTCCTCGACACTCGCAGCAAAGAGAAGCTTCAATTGCTAAGTGGAGCGCGGAGAGCAACGCGCAATAACAGCGCTTACAACACGTGCGGCCTGGCAACTCGCACTGCTTGGCCGTGCCGCCAGGTTTGAAATCAAGATTTTCTTTCGCAGAGCGCCACACTCAATGCGTAGATGTGCTTCAACGGTAACGCGTTTCGTTAGCTCATCGCCGCAGCCCCAACCTCAATGCAATCATTGGCATGGACGTCTATGGAGATGTCGGCGGCCGCATTTTATTGCGTTTGTCCATGAATGTGCTGCGCGCACCCGCTTACAAATACATATAGATAATTTAAATAAAATAAAAATAATACAAACACACACATACATGCAACGGAAGAAACTCGCAAATCGACTTGGTCGTTCCAAATTGTTTGTTGCTGTGTTGGTGAAACCTTTGTGCAATGTGTGTTGTTGCGTCATATGAACAGCATGAATTGACTATAGCCGACTTTTGTGGGATAGTGTGATTGTGTGACTCTGTCTGTCCGTGTGTGTGTGTGTGTGTGTATGTGTGTTTGTTTATTTGTATGTATGTTCGGTTCACTTCGTTCAGCTTTGGCTGGTAAGTAGGTCAGCCAAGCAATCAGTTAGTCAGCGAGCGAGTCAAGCAACAACAACAGCAACAACAAACTAAGCAACTACAACAACAATAGCGCCAAAATGAGCGAGCAAACGAAATCGAAACTTAATTCAGACTTAGTAAGTGTGGTTGTTGCTGCCATTACAGCCTTTTTAGCTGCCTTTTTGTTTGTTTCTGTTGTCGCTTCACGTCCCTTACAACACCATCACCCCGCGCCTTCAGCCTCTGACCTGTGTGAGTTTACATAATCGCTATACGGGCGCGCGCGTACGAAAATCACAGACGCAAAAGCAACCAACAACGAAAACTATTTACAAAAAAATCAAAGCCTGAAATGCCAACAACAAATTGACCGTGGATTACGTAGCTTTGGCGCTTGAGCTGTGCACTTAATGGCTGGCGTCTATATTAAGCTACACTTTTGGCAATTTTTGGCTAGCATTTGCGCTGTTTCGCATTTGCTTTTTGTCGCGCCCCCTCTCTCACCTTAAGATCCTTAAAGAAGACAGTGTTTCTAGCCCAATCCACTTGTGAGAACAGATTCTGATCCAACACTTTGCACATCAGCTCGAAGAGATCAACTTCCACTTGATTGTAGGTTTGTTTTTGTAGCAACGCAAAGAGTTGTGTCTGCCATTCCCGATCGTCTATCGATTGCACGAAGTCGCGTATCATTGGCGACACCCTGTACGATGAGAGTGATGAGAAAATAAATGCATTAAAAATGTGTCCATAGAAGGTGTTGAGGCAAAATTTCGTTAACTCACCTAAGTGGCTCGATGATGGAGTCAGCAGTGCTTGAAGGATGCGTACCGGTGTCGAAGCTTTAATTGTAGAATAGAAATATAAAAAATTATAAGAAAACAAGTGCAAGATTAAGGGCGGCACAAGGCTTGAAATTGGGTGAATGTTTTTCACAAATCAAAAGAGAGGTGCCGTTTTTTATTAAGCTTATAAGCTCAACTTATTTTTATGGTATAATAATCTGGCGCACAAAAAAAGGAGACACTCTTTGAAATTAGTCCCAACAAATTTTATGAAAAACTTTTAGTAAAGAATTTAAAATTAAAAAAAAAATCTTTGGGGCTTAAAACCAAAATACTACAAAAAATTTAGATATGGATTTGAAAAATATATTTAGTTTTGGTTTTTTTCAATTTTAGTTAATTAAGGTAAGATATAAGTGTATGGTAGTTTAAAAACTTTACAAATTTTTAGTAAATTAAAAACCGGTATTTAGTTATGTAAAACTGGAAATAAAGTTTTGTAAATAAAAAACTTAACATATGCACTTTTGGCAATTTAAAAACAGGATACAAATTTTTGATATAAAAAAAATTGGATACAGCGTTTTGGTAATTTCAAAACTGGACGTAAATTTTTGGTAATAAAAACTGGAAATATTTTTCTGGTAATAAAAAATTGGAAATACATAATTTTTTGGTAATAAAAAATTAGAGATAATTTTTGGCTTTGCAAAAATTTTTGGTCATTTGAAAATTAGAAAACTGTTAGGTTTTTAAAATTCAAAATAAATGTTTGTTATTTAAGAAATGAGAAACTATTTGAAAATTTACATAACCGTTATTTACTTTTGGTTAATTAAGAATTAAAAATTGTCTTTAAGGAAAGCCGTAAAGTTTTCGTTGTTTAAAATAATTTTAAGTAACCTAAAAATATACATCCTTTTTTTTTTAAATAAGCAATGGACATATTTTTTGGCTATTTAAAACTTAAATAGAAATCAAAATTCCGAAACAAAATTTTAATAAATAGAAAAAGAAAATTATTAAAAAAAATGCTGAACCTGCTGTGAGATGAAATTCCTATTTTGTGCAGTGTTATCAAGAAATATGTATAAAAATTTAACAAAAATAAATAAAACAATTACATAGTTAAAACAAAGAAATCGAAAAGATTTTAATCGGGACTGGAAAGCTAATTTCGAAGTTGAAAAAACCGTTAATCAAAAATTAAAAAAAAATGGACATCGAAGTCCAGGAAAGTAAAATCGGATAGGCAAAAAATTAAAAAAAGAAGCGCGCATATACAAATTGTGGATTACCGAAATGGCGATACGCAGTACAACTTTATGAACTGATACGTGTCAAGTATTAGGATAACAAAAAAGCAAAAACTGAGGGGAAATTCTATTAAATAATTTAAAAAAAAAATTAAAAATTACTCGCACGTCAAGGAAAAATGTAAATTTTCTACGTTCTACGAAAATTAGAAAAAAAATAAGGGTCGCAGTGTTTGGATTTATTTATATGTACAAGTTTCAATAATAAATCAAATTTATCAGATTTCAAGTATAAATTTTTTCGAATATTACGATATATGAAATTTAAATTTTTTCAAACCCTGGTAGCAACTTTTATTTTGCTGAATTTTTGACATTTTTTTTGTGTCTTTATACAAAAATTTATATTTTTAAGAACTATCCTAATATATTAATTGAATTGAAAAGTTGTCTCGATTTTTGATAATTAAAGACTTTTTACAACCCCGGATGTTTTAAATGAAACTATAATCAGAAGCAGATCCGCCTTCGAAAAACTCTTGACAAAATGTTTCATTACCCCAGCGGTACCTCTCACAAAACTGCTTACGATTTTAAGCATCTCAATTCTTTTTTTTTTTCGTTCAAAAACAGCCGCAGCACCTCTCGATCATGCGTGGTAATGAAGAGATATGGAAGGATTGATGATGTACGTTTCATGCATCAACAACGTATGTATGTATGTATGTAATTAGTTAAAGCTAACATTTCATAAGACAGTAAAGCATATACCACATTTTCGCGTCGGACGCATTCTGCAGAGATCCAGTTCCAGTGTCGTGGCAATTGCCACTGCCACCGCGGTTGAGTCCATCGCTGGCGTTATTGCTGCTGCTATTATTGGTGCCGGTGTTGCCACCATTGCCATTACCGCCGCCGCCACCACCACCACCACCAGCGCTACCACCACCGCCACCGCCATTCATGGGCGTTGATATCACACCGCCGCTTGTATTGACCTGCCCGAGCGCAATCGCAATGGGACTGGGCGATGAATCTGGTGATTGTGTGAGAGAGGACACCTGTTAGAGGAGGAGGAGGAATAAAGTTGATAAATTAGTTTAAATGATAGATATTATTTAATTTTGATATCGTGTTTTCGCTAAAGTACTTGATACGTGTATCTCACCTGAGGTATTTGTATTTCTTGTTTTATATTCATATTTGGATATGCTTGTTGGTAACCAGGCGAGAGTGGCGACGACTTCATCTCAACCGAGCCAATGGATGTGCGTAGCGCTTGCAAGGCGAGTTGTCGTTGACGCATCATTTGTAGTTTTCGCGCCCGATCGCGTTTGTACATGGGTCCGAATTTGTTGCGACCCCCGCGCATTCGATCCGCTCTCACGGCTGAAAAGCAGGGAGAAGATATTGGATATTTAGCGGTTGTTGTTGGAGCTAAATGTTTCTGGAGGGTTAAAAGTACATATTTATTTACTAATTATCGAAATTAATATCAATATATTTATCGATATCACGTTTGTTAAAATCATCGAGATACATATTTATCGATGTGTTCTTAGAGTTAAACGTAGCAAAAAGACAAAAAATATTTATCTACTATTTATCGATATTAATAGCGGTATATTTATCGATATCATGTTTGATGTATTCATCGATACCTTTATCAATATGCTTATTAATTTTTGATGTTCATAACTTATTATTATTGATTCGTATAAGTAATCGTAATCGATATTATTTTACCATTTATGACTTTATATGGAGGGAGACAAAATGTTCACGAGTCTCACCATAACCTTGCCATGGAGATGGGTCCCACCATTATACATATAAAAAACTATGGCCGGTAAGGTCAGTCAAAACATGGCTACTAACCACTACATATGAGGCAGTTGCTCTAAATCTCCGACATCGCGGTTGATGGTCGTCTATATCGCTAACTTGCTAACCGCTACCGAACTGTCATATTTAGCGGAGTGGGGAAAAGCTTCTATCCAGGAAAGGACGAATAGGGGCATCCCGCAGCGGAACGTTTTCTCACCAATTCTCTGAATCGTCAACGTCAACGCAGCTGGAAATGTAGGGCTGTTGCTCTATTACCTACGCTGACGATGTGGCGCTCATTATCAGGGGAAGTTTCTAAGCACTATTAGCGGACTAGGTGTATTCCTAGGCAATACTATTTAACCAGGAGACAGTGTGACCAGATGATCGCAAAAAGCGAAGCTAAATTCCTTTTTAAAAAAGGTTAGAAAGAGTTATACGCTAGGAAAATTGAAGTCAAAAAGAAGTCAGTATATTCTTTCCTTAAAATCATACATACATACATAATGGGTACTTAGTTTAATAGTTCTGGTCCGAATTTGACTATGAATATTTTAAATAAAAAATGCCAGAAAAAAGCCATTAAGTCAGATCTTAGTTTCTGGCTAGCCTGGTCACACTGCCGGGAGATATAAATAGCCAAATGCCCAGCTTCCTTTTCAGTTGTGCTCTCGGATCGCGTTGGGTGTGATCCTAGACAAGAAGTCATTCTGTAAGCCGAATTGCATTTGAGCAGCGAATGCAACAAAAAGCATCAGCTGCCCTATACTTTTTTGTAAGCGCTGCAGGAAGGAGGTGGGGTCTTTCTGCAAAGGTAATTTACCTTAAATCATACTCCAGCCAATTATCTAGTTTGGGTTATAATTAGTTAGCATTCTGAAATTCACTAGAAACATTTATTTTAGTAAAGTGCTGCCTTTGTTGGAATTAGCGAAGCCCTCCGAACTACTCCTATTCTAGCGGTTAACGCTGCGCCTAACGTCGTACAAGTAAACAGTGCGGGCAAGACTGTCCCAGTTTGCTTTGCTACTAGGCAAAGGATCACCGGATTTTCCTTCACACAGAGCTCTTTGGAAACTTCGACATCATACCATAAGGAAAGGAACGGTAGATCCTGACGTGAATTATTTTTTCTCAGCTTTCCTGCTTTCGCTAGGCTCTTGTTTCATCAAAACTTGAGACGACGAAAGCTCTGCTGTGGCTGGTTGCCAATCTTGATTTGCAGCACACACCGTGTTTTCATTATAACTTAATATATGTATGTATGTAGATTACTCCCAGTTGGCGTTCCAGGAAGGCATTTTAGTGGTATTATTGCTTATGGAGAAAAATAGATATGGGAACATATGTATCTTAGGGTTGCCTCAATATATCAACATCATGGGGCAGCCCTTTATTTTGTTCCTGGCACACAATAAAGACGTCCCCGAAATTAAAAATTTTCTCTTTTAATTTAAGAAAATCGCAAAAATTCGACTAAATTTCGACTTTTACCAGCTATAATTCAGCGAGCTTATGATTTTATATGAATACGTTTCAATGAAATGTCAAATTTATCAGATTTCATGCCAAGGTTTTATCGAATTTTTGTGACAAAAAAAAATCATTCTTTTTTAAGTCTGGCAGCGCCCCTAAAAATTTATTTACAATTTTGAAATTTTTGTCGGGGTGCCCTATACAAAATTTAGGTGCTGATATTTTAGGAGACAGTCTAATGTATGCGTTTATTATGATTAATTTTCTTTCCAAGACCGAACTAACTCTTACTCTACTAATAACAAAATTTTTGTAAATTTTTATTTTTTTATTCTTGCGTTATATCGTTTACCTAATTTGATTACTAACTAAAAATCATTGAAAAAAATATTTATTAATTTTATTCAACTTTCTTATTGTTGTTTAGCCTTCTTAAACATTTTTGTAATACTTTTTTTTTAAGTTTTTAAATGCATTGTTTTCATTTTATTTATGCCCTGTTGCACCAATCAATTTCAAATTTATCAGCCTGTTAAAATTTAAAATTACACAATTTTGTGCGGAAAGTTTGTCACTTGGTAAAACCGAGCATCTAATTTTTTTGATTTTTTTGGTTTTAGTTTTTTATATTCATGTTTTCGGACTCCTGTTTGAAAAAAAATGTTTCATCAAAAATACTAAAATTATTCTGTATTTTTTTTTATTTCAAATGATACTATTATTTTTGTGTTTTTTTAAGATTTTTCTAATTTTTTTTTTTTTGTTGATTTTATATATTTTTTGTTTTAATTTAGTTTTTTATTTTATATATAATTTGATTTTATTTTTTATTTTTTTTTTGGTTTTTATTTTGTATTGTATGTTTTCGAGCGCCTGTTTGAAAAAATTTTGTCATCAAAAAAACTGAAATTTTTCCGTTTTCTAAAAATTATTTTTTTACTTTTGTTTTGAAAATTATTTTATGGTCCCGAAAAGAATAAAATCCGAGATCTAATCTTAATCAGTGAAGTAGAAATTAAAGATTTCAAAGTTTTCGCTAATTTCCCAGTGTAAAATCAGAAATGAAAAAGTTTTAGAAAATTGTAGACGGATTTTTACTAAAATTTTTAGCAACTTTCGTAAGGAAGTCGACATATGCATATATTTTGCAGAGAAAACGTCAATTAACTAAATTTTCAATGACTTTGCGAAGTTCCTACCAACAAATCGATTATGCGCCCAAAAACGATTCATCGATGCTTTTAGCGCTCGATACCAAATTTTAATTCAGTACTTAATAAATAATTAAGGCATTAAAATTTTTATATAAAATGCTTTAATCTAATTTGCGTGCATAATTCTCATACACACATACATACATATATTCCGCGAATGCTCTTTATTCTAAAGATTGTTTTCCTATTTGAAATCTATCTGCCCTCTTTCGCGAAATAAGGACAAAAATACAAGCAAACAAAATGTAATCAGCCCAGTCCAACTGCTGTTCTACCGCAGCGGGGGACGGCGGGTGGCGAGCTGTGACACCATTCCATGATGCAAACGTGATTGCAGTGTAAGCTGCACTTAGCAGCCGCTAAGATGGAAGGGAGATGCCCCTGCCGCCACCGCCACTACCAGCACAGCCAGTACCTCTTAGAACTGGGTTTTATAAAATAAGAAAAACGCTTTTATTATTTCTGCTCATTTCAGTTGGTCGTTTTTGCGCCGCTCACCGCTCACTGCTCACCGCGCGTCATTCGTCGCTGGTCGCATGTTCCGCCGTCTGTATATTCGGTCGGCTGTTCGTATATTTCTTTTTCACTCAAACAAGAAACTGTAATTTAGGTCAAGCATATTGTTTACAAATATTCAACGTGTGCATATAGGTTGTGTGCGCGCGTACATATGTGAAAACCTATATGCAAATACATTTGAACAAACCATTGAAAGCGAAAACGAAACGCATACAAGCGCAGTGAATTTCAACACATTTGCTAGCATTTGACAAGGCGGAAATGTACAAGTGTGTGTGTGAGCAAGTAGCTCGATGAAAAAATGTTGATGCGCGTCTAAGTGTTGGTGTGTGAGCGCGCGCGGAAAGCGCCAATTGTACGGACGTCGAGCTAATGTTGCCGGCCACGCTGCTCAGCGAGAGCGTGCAAATTACTTCAAATGCTATGCGCGAGATATGGCGCTCAAAGCTTTTCTTCTAATGTCGCTCGCGCGCTGCTAAAAAAAAAAACTTTAAAAAATCACCAAAAACAAAACTATTTCCAATCTGCAGATGATGGAGCAACACGCGGGCGTATAGGTAAATGTGTTTGTATTTGCGCGTAGCTTAGAGCTGAGTATTTTACATTTTACCTGCGCTCGCGTTGATTTGGCGCGCGCGTGCTCGCTCCCAGAATGATCCACTCCACTAAAGAAGCATACATCTCAGCGCGCTCAGCAGAGTTTCTGTGCGCTTCTGTGGCAATACAATCGTCGCGCTAACAGTGGATAGACAGCAGGAGCAATAGCAAGCGGAATGGCAACGGCGACGACGACGACAACAGCGACAACGACGATGAGCGTCAATAACTTCACTTGGTGAGCACACCAACAGCGCGCGATGAGCGCTAAGACAAGCAACCAGCTAGCAGCAAAAAGCATACAGCGAAAAGCGATTTGTAGCGTTGCGGTGTGTAGCGTGTTTTCATTTTGAGTGGAGTAGGTCAAGGACAGAATGGAAACTGGGACACCACCACATACGCCAAAGCTAATGCATACCGAACGAAAGCAGCAACATCTAATGCCGCATCGCCTCATCGCGCCACACACACCGCGCGCCCTTCACCAAAAGCACGCGCGTTTGCTCCCTCCCATGGCACAGCAACGAAAGCATTGGAAAGCGCATGAGAGTGCTCACCACCGCACGCCACTCGCCCGTATTGCACGCCTTAAGAGCACACCTATTAGCTAATACCAACACCACTATCACTATCACTTTCAGTGGCAATAGCAACAGCAACATCAACACTAACAACAACAGCAATAACAGCAATGTTATTGCACATTGTACCACATGACCACTTTCATTGGCATTCGCCACTGTTCGGCGGCATTCG